GGTAATGTTCTTGTTCTAATGTAAGATTATACCCAAAAACGCTTTTCTTTGTTGGGTCACACAATGAGAGACAGACTTACAGTTCAGTCTTTTATTCAGCTTTATTCCTCTTTCTAACTCAGTGATTCCACGTGAGCCAAAAAACACATTCATGTTGCTTGAAATGTTTGATAATGAAGCTCTTCTTGTCACCATCCTTGGTTTTAAATGTAAGCTCATCTTACACACAGTGAAAGAGTTCAAAGTACACACTGACTTGGCTCTGTTCTGACGGGATATTTCACAGTCAGGCACCAATGCAGACAGAAGGTAAACATCCTACATGTGATGCACAACGCACAGTTTTGCTAACAGGTTTTCAACGTTTTCACTTTGAACATCAAATTGCTAATATCATCTCACAGCTGCAGTCCCCTGAGCAGTACGAGATGATGGCAGTGGTCAGAGACGGTACTGTGTGTGCTGTGTCAGAGGTCACTTGTTTCATCAGCAACAGCAACTGAAACTGAGAAGTTTGGGGGAAAAAAGCACTACAAATGTACAAAAACTGGCATTCATGTTTATAAAAGACATTTTTAAAGAAGCCTGATCTTAATATATGATTAAAGTAAAACTTGTCCCTCTTTTAAATATTCAGCTAGCCACCTCCCCTTATCGTTAACAAGGTTAAGATGGAAAAGTTAAATCATTCCTTGCTGACATAGACAAAAGCATTTTGAGCAGCAAACTGTGTCTTTTGTCATAAATATGTTGTCTGTTTTATCTGTTTTAGCAAGCTAGGCAAACTACTGGTTTGAAAGGAAAACCTTGTAAAGACATAAATAAACATGTGCTTGATGGATTCATAAACGATAGTGTGCTAAAAATTGGTAACATTCAAAATCCCAAGTAGATGGTGATCGCTTTGGGAAACGCAAAAAAGAAACAGCGTAATTTCTGTATTGCAGCAGATGTTTGTTAGCCCTAGCATCTAAGGTACGATAAGAAAAACGTTTCCATTCAAAGTAACGATTTTTAAAACCCAGTAACGTGGCACAATGAGGAAAACTTTTTTTTATGTCACAGTTACTGTTACTGACGCCTAGTCTTTGATATCACATAAGCAGAAACACTGTCGACAACTATATTTGTTTGCTATATAATAAGAAACTTTTGATTAATGACTTAAAATCATTTGTTGCAGACAAACAATTTAATTATCATCTTTGATTACGACAGTTTTTTTCCTATTTAACATCCAAATTTAGGTCTATGTTCTGACCTAAACTTCCTTTTTTTAATTATACTTTGCAAATTCTAACAAAAACTTTCACCACTTTTAAAAAACTTTTCTTGTTTTTTTTTATTTCTGCCCTTGTTGCCTCAAGAGAATTTGCCTTTTCCCAGAACAGCACTATAAATAAGAACATCATTAAATAAAGGTTATACTGATTCACTGCACCAGCTCATGGTACAAACCGATTTCACATGAAAAGTCCTGCCTGGCTCTAGTACAACTTAAGATGGTGTTGCTCCAACACAGTACATGTTTTGGAGAAGTTGTTTCTTCACATTTTGTTTGAACTTAATTTTTGAAGATTTTAAACTTTTTCTGAGCGCAGGCGTTTATAACAAGCACAGAAACACACCAAAGTTGGAGGAACCATCTGAAGAGTAAGTAAACACACGGCTACGTATGCTAATGTTTGTGAGGCTAAGACTGTGAAATACACAGTGGATGATAAGATGAAAAGAGTGAATTGAACTTTAGTTTTTGAAAAACAAACAAACCTCAACACAGTAAATGAATGTAGTTGAATAGTGGTACATTTTTGGGCCTCATTGGTAAGGCTCTGTGGCTGCTGTTGGTGGTAAGATAGTTAGCTTGGCATGGTCATAAACTAAGCTGGTTTCGCGCAGATAAATGGATTGTTTCATTGGAATTTTACACAGTTATCTTTGGAAAGGCAAGAAAAACATACAACACCATCCAAAGAGTTCAAATGCACATTGTTGAGGACAAATATCCAGAAATTACATGTCAAGCCTAGTTAATGGTCAGAGTGAGAGTGACTGACAATACTGACAACCGAGGCACATACAAGCAAAATGTTTCCAACATAATACAGTATGAAGAGCCCTGGTGTATCACTTGGAATCATATGGTTTGCATAATTAGACCATTAGGACTACAGAATATAAAAGGCCTTCAGAGAGCACAGAAAAAGGCTGAATGGATGAACCTTCCAAAATATCCAATTTTTACAAATGCGCTATATCGTTCTGATTGAACCCAGAAGAGACCAATGTTAACCCAACATGGAACTCTTTAGAGTTTCTGCTTCATGTAAACTAAAAGTTTCAGTTTACGCGTTCTCACAGACAATCCCCCAAAATAAACACGATGGCAAATCCCAAAGGAATACCGTTTTAAGAAAAAACAAAAAGAAACTTTACAGTTTAATACAGACATAACTTAAAAAGATAAATACAATTTTTTCTCCTTTTTTTTTTTAAACTCAGTGTTTATTCAATGACAGTATTTTCGAGTTTCTCAAACTATGGCTTGGGTCTGGGTCACTAACAAGCGTTTGACTGGTACAATGATGCGAGCCTGGATTTGTCCATTTCATTCAAGCCTGTGTTATTTAAGCGCTTCAATCTTGAAATGAGATCTTTATTAAAGGCGTCGGCAGCAGGCAAAGGTAATTGCGGTGCTTTTTCTCTCCTGTCTGGACGTCACCATTTAGACTTGAACTGCAGTTTTAAGATGTAATTCAAGCCAGAATTGTGCAAGAAGAAGAATACAGTCTTATTCCATAATTATCTTCTTCATTCTTGTGCTTTGTGAGGTGAACACCTGTTGATGTTTCACTTCCAAATGGCAGAACCAGTTCATTATTGGTGAATATGTTCCATGCCGTTCTTATAGGTTAGGCATCTTCACCATGAAGGAGTCAGTATGCCTAAGATGAAGCGGCACTCTTTCCAAAAACGACATACAGCAATCACTTAACCTAGCAAGTGAGGTGGAGTTCTCTGGAGCATACTAACAAATACAACCAAATGAAAACAAAAGCTTTTACCCAGTCTGAACTTGGTGTGTCTTGCTCTTATAAACATTCCAAGTACTAAATGTAGGAACTTGACATTACTTTGTTTCAAGAACAGTCTTCCAGTATATCGGTACAGTGACTTCATTTATACCACTTTTCATTAATGTTCTTGTATTGTCTTTACACATTGGACTCTACAAAGGGTCTTTTTGGTTTAACCGGAGACGTAGGACCCGTACGTCTCTCAGTCGGTCTGTCCGAGCAGCTGTGGATCATGGGTAGCGTCCGAGCCACCTTCACATCCATGTAGGAGAGATTCTGACAGGCAACCTGCACTGAGCCCTCACCCTGATGAACGTTTCCTGGCGTCACCTCGTAGAAGTCCAGCTGGTTATCATAAGAGGCGTGACCATTGTGGGCATTGTTGTTGCTGCGGTTGTGGTAGGCAAAGGATGAGAGCTGGGGTGGAGGGGGGTTTTTGCTGGGCGAAGTGACAACTGTGTCCACTGAAGACACGGCCCAGGAGCGAGACGGACTGAGACAGGACGCTGAGCTGGACGGAGCCTGTTGCTGATACTGCTGGTGCACCCTTGCCGTCTTGTCGATTATTCCCATAAAAGGAGTGTTCCTAGATGAACGTCCCACCTCTCCAGGGTAAGTCCCGCCTCCTGACATGCATATTTCTGACTGGGGAGAGGCGATCAGGAAGTTATCATCATGGTAACCACTAATGCTTCTAGCAGAGGCCAGATCTGAAGGTAGATCCATGTGCTGAACTGAGGCCGATGTCCTAAAGCCTGGCCCAAGATTAGCTGGCTGTCCAGTAGCAAGACTACCACTACTGGGGGAGAAACGGACGCTGACACTCTGGGAATGGATGAGAGGCCTAGGGGAATGACCAGAGGAGGAGGTTGGGTGAGCACTGAGTGGACGTCGAAGACCACCCTGGTGTTGATACTGATAATCGTGCGATGACTGAAGCCTATCTGAAGACCCCATTGCTGCCTCTGTAACTTCCAAAGGGTAGTAGGCTGCTTTGGATTGGTTACGGCTGAACTGACGGGACTGGCCAAAACGGTTTACCCCCGCCCACTCGGCTCCTGCTGCTTTCCCATAGCCAGATGTGCCTCTGGCCTGGCTAACCAGGTCAACGTCTTCTTCTTCATCCTGTACATAAGAAGCTCCAGAGCTCAGACCAGGCTGAGCCAATGGGCTAGGCCTGACATCCATAGGATTTGAGCAAAAGCCTTCCCCAAGCTCTGCTAGTTCTTTGGGCAGATGGGCGAACTGGGAATAGGCAGAACTTCCCAAAACCATGCTGGAGTGGGTAGAAGAACTGGGCTGATTGGTTCGGACCACCTGTGCTTTGGCTGGTTGGAGCCAGTGGCCTTGGACGGGGTTCTGCTTCTGGAACCTCTGACCAGCCAGATGGGGGTGACGCTGGACTCCCTGGTTCTGATCTAAGTCAGACTGTGGATAGTTTTGTACACCTCCACTTTCGGACAATGTAGGCATACTTTCAGACACTATTCCACCTCGCTGCTGATGCTGGATTAGGGAGGAAGTAGGGCTGAAATCGTGATAAGATGTGGAAGGAGGGGGAGGTGCAGAGTGACTAGGTGAAGAAAGGGAGGCTGCGTGGGTGGGACTGGGGAGGTGATGATACAGATGAGTGGGGGACAGGGAGGAGGGCGATGGTACCCCAGAGTGGCAGCGGGTGTCAAGACTTTGAACCGCAGGTTGAAGGTGACACGGAGAGGAGTCTCTTTCCCTGAAACTGCTCTCTGCTTTCTCCTCTTCCTCCTCTTCCTCTGTAAGCCCCTCTCTATCCTGTACCTGCAAACAACCTGAATCTCTAGACCTGGCCTCGCTGATGGACATGTTCTGCTGATAGATGTGATTAGATGATGGAGGATGAGTGTCCTTTTGCTGTGCAGCCTGCCGACACTCTTCTTTGACCCGTGACAGCAGGCGCTGAATCTCCCGGTTGGATGGGCACAAACGGCTGGCTTCAATCAGGTCCTCCAAAGCAGCGTGGAATTGTCTGGGTTGTGATAGTGACAAGGAGTGAAAACAGGACAAAC